ATTGTCTATAGACTGAACAACTGCAGGATTCTTGTCACAGGTAAATGCCTGAATTGATCAGAATGGACACTGCTGCTATAAACAATGGGATGTAATTAATATATAAAAATATTTAAGGGATGTAATTAAGATATAAAAAATATTTAAGAACTGCATTTTTTCCAATGCATATATTTCCAATATATATATATTATTAACCTGTTAAATTCCCCTAAAGCCTCCCAAAGAGACAGAACTACAAGAAATGCCCATTTCCCAGCTGGGCAAATAAATCTTCATGCAAACAATCTCAGGACAGGGGACCTTTACATTTAGCTTCCTTTAGCTCTTCGCTCCTCCATGTTCTCTTTTAACATGCAGTATTTTCCCTCTTATCTGTACTTTCCTTTTATCTGTATTTTCCTCGGTTCAGAGCTGTTCTGAGTCAGGAATCAGGCAATCTCAAAACTGGGTTAAACAAGTAATAAATAATTAGAAATAAAGATGTTTGCCTGAAACTTGCAGTTAGTGGGACAGGATTCCCACAGACATTTTGGGTTTTGTTGCAAGCGGCTAGGATCTTTTTTATGTCTTTTAAGAAAGTAATATGGAAAGATCCAAGAACCAAATCAGATAGTAACTTTTTAAATTAGCCATACCTGCCTGGGTTTTTTTCCTGTGATTTTCCTATGTAAAGTGCAATGTAACAGGGAATCCAAAATAAAATAAACTTGACAAATAAAATGAAGATAATTTTTCTCAATGCAACCTACTTAACAATATATGCAGTGATCCATTGTCAAGAGTGAATCGGCTGCTTTGGAGCAGCTGAGGGAAAACAAACAAAGAAATGAGGTTTCTAAAACTTACCAAGTTATTGCCTTAATTAATCAAAACGGTGAAGTTTCGAGAACAGGCTAACTTGCAAGAGGCATGCAAACCGATCAGTGAAAGATTTGCCAGAACTTCCGGGTCCAAAGGTATTAGAGGAAGTTTGACGAAAGAAGGGAAAAGGGTAATAATACCGTGAAAGTTGCAACATTTTCTGAGCAAAAGTTCAAACAAACTCTAGGGACACCTAGTGGTCATGAACAGAATACTGTACTTTTAGTTCTACAATAATTCAATAAAATGTGCAGTTTAAGTGGTTCTAGTATTATCGCTTTCTATGTAAATACGGTATTTATAGTATTTTCCAATGTCTTCCAATGTTTATTCCTAAGAAGGAATAAACAGAAACATTTTTGTGTGTCGTGTTGTATGTTTGTATGCGGGTTTTTTGTGTGAGTCTGTGTGCAGTGCACGCCTTCAAGTTAATTTTTGACCCTGACAAGTGCTTGGACCGTGACCCGTCAAAAGCGCGGACGGCAAAAGCGCGATCGACAAAATCGCGCCTTTGACGTCATCACAGCGCGACGAAAAAGATCGAAAAATTCAAATAAAAATTAATAAAAATT